GTTTGGTAGTTTCTTTTTGATTAATTTTTTCTGTTTGGTCTCCTCAAATATGCCTCTTTGGATTATTATTTGCACAGAAATTGATAAAAGGTGTAAAAGAAACGTCTGCCTGTCGAGTTCCTGTCAAAATTTGCGCATGTAAGAGAGCAACCCACACTTTACTTCTGCAAGTATTGTGGTCCTTCTACTCCACCCCGTTTTTATTCACTTAGACTTCATACATTCAGCATGCACTTTTCGGCTTTCCTCGTTTCGGTGGGACATTTTTTATTCAGCACTCAATTCGTAATGTTAGTTTTTGGAACTTTGCTCTATGGTAGTGCTCTCACTATTATCGTTTTCATTTTGGTTGGCTATTCTTACTCACTTCCAGACATGCAGACATGTTTTATCTGTGATATGTGGCGACAGCATCTTTTTTTTGTACTTCTTTTTTTATTAAGACCAGAAATCCGCATTTAGCAAGAGTCTCCTAGGAATTATGTCCGCTGAGAGACAGGCGAATATAACGTGGGATCTTTCGTGAGATTTTAGGCCTTCGAAAATTTATTATTATTTCTACTTTTATTTATTAAAGCTAATTAGTATGTATAAATATACATTTGCATGTTTGTTGCTTTGGTGCTGTTTTTTTTTTGATTTTAAATCTATCCGAGGTAGCGTTTTTATGTTCGTGGAATGTGAGCGGGGGTGATTAGACTCTTCAGGATCGATCGATATTTCAATGCCTTTGACCTATCCTCCATCAAGCAATCGTTTTAAAGTTCCTTATAAAGTAAGAAAATCAGTCGTGACCGTGATAAATATAATGTTTTTCAGACAACGAAGGAAATCTATTGAGATGGCCACTCCAAAACTTAACTGAAATGGTAGAAATATTGTCCTCGACAAAGATACAACTCACAGAAGTGGTTTGATCATCTTAGCATGACTAAGGTCTGTGTTAAAGTGCATATTTTTTTGTCGAGTTGCTACTGGAGTCGAAACTTTGGGGACATCAATTAGAATCTGAGTCGAAACAAGACTACATGCAGTGGCATTTAAAGGGCACAGCACCTCCTAAGAACTTTTTAGGCAATCCTCTTTTGGGGCTCGGAAGTAATATTATTTATCAATTCTGCTCTTTTTCTTCGTTAAACTCACTTGCACCAGAATTTTGGTTCCGCACTTCATCGACCAAATTCCTGGTTCAAACTGTTTTCATTGCTCTGCTATTTATATTTACCAAGAGCTCAAAATACAACCACCATAGCGCCATTAAAATTTAAATTTATTAAATAAGTATTTTTTGTTGCATTTTAAATTACATCTGAATTTCCGTTTATTTTGATTCTTTCATGCGAATCTACGCCGAAATGCAAGTAGAAAACAGAGAATTACCCACATTTTGCTAAATCGCAATTACCGTTCTAATGGTGCAGCAGAGCACACAATAGAATCTAGACTGTCTTGTTTCCTACACTCCCTTGAGTTGGTAATTCACTGGTCGTTTTGGGATTTCACCTCGTTCATACCGTTCGCGCGCTTATCGCGTTTGTCACCAACTCCTTCCGCAATCCGCTTAAAACATTCTTATTCTACCTGCCGTTGTTACATGGAAATTTTATTTTTATTTTTACTATTTCTTTTTTCCTGTCATTATCGCCTTGAAAGGTTTCTACATACCTTTACAAACATACATACACACACATATGCATACAGTGTGTTTGTGTTTTATTCTTGCCCCTCTTTCCGAGGTGGTTTTACGAGCTCGGCCAGTTGACTGGCCTAACGCCAAGTGAATGACTGACCGTTGACTGTCGCTTCGGTGGCATATGGTTTGACGTTCACTTCTTCACTTCTTCGCTGGTGGTTAGTTGGTTATTCACTTTGTCTGTTGCTGTTGCTGTTGCTGTTGCTGCCGAGGCACATTGCTGCGTTGTAGCAAATGTGTTGCTGAAACACCTATTAAAATTCCAGCAGGCATAGCGAGTTCTCTGTATGCAGTGAAAGAATTTTCTCTTGTCTCCCCACTCTGTTACTGCGATGCACTCGGTCTGTCAACCAGTCAAACAGTCATCTAGTTAGGTTTTCTCGCGCATGCTCAGTACCATTCTCAATGGGTTTGTTTGTGTATTACCATTATGTTCTCTGCTATGCCGGATAATTACGATTTGATTGTCAAAATGGATTAGCGCACTATCTTATTGGGTTATGGAATTGAAAAAGAATGCCAACTTTTTGCAAATTTTCAGCTGAATTGTTACATATTAGATCTACAATGCCTTTAATCTATATATAATATCTGGCCTCATTGACCTGCCAGGTAAAATACGACGTATTCTTGAAATTTTCTTTGATAAAGACGAAAGGCAAGTCAGGCAGCTGAAAATATGATCAGTTTTTAGAATCTGGAAACTGTAAAAGTTAATCATGCACATTTTTGATTTCGTTGATTTCGTTTCGGAAAATAATGGAAATATTCGAGTCTAAACGCCATGCGAGCACTGATTCAATGGCCCAAGGCTAAAGATTGCACAAAATACACAATTTGCAAAAAGCTGGATAAACAAAGAAGCTCGATGCTGTATCGTAACAACAATGATCTATTTCTGAAGCGCTTGGTGACTGGTGATGAAGAGTGGGCCACTTACAGCAACGTTAAGGTTTTACATAGGTCTTGAAACTTCAAAAAAGAATTCATTTCTTTTATAACTTTTTGTCTAAAAGTACAAAGTGTCAGGAATGTTTTCCCCAAGTTTCAATTCGATCGAGACGAAACTGTAGAAATTACATATTTTTATAACCCGCCGTCTTTGTCATGGCTTGACCGATGGCGAAACATTAAACGCGTTTTTCTTAAAAGCACTTCATCGAACTATTGCAGCGATCGAGTTAAAATCTTCCATACTTCTTTTAAGCATGGTTTTGTAGTCCCGGGACGAACCGCCAATATGTGGCCTAATTTTATGCAAAAGTATGTGAATTTTCCTTGTCCCTGAACGAAGAAGGAAAATTCACCTACTAAAAAAAAATTCGATTTTTGATTTCAGATAAATATTGAAAAAGTTATCATGACTGCTGCGAAAGCACTTTCTTGTGGACGGTCTACTTCACGACACTGCCAATGCCTTAACTTATACTATTTTTCATTGAAATTTTCCTCAAAAGTTGTCTACATATTATACTTTATTTAGTACCTTTTAAAAGAATTAGAGAAAATAAGCTTTTTTTGCCTTCAAGACCTATGTAACCCCTTAAACGAAAGCGGTCTTGGGGGAAAGGCAGTAAGCAGGCACAAGTAGTCTCAAAGGCAGAATTGACGGCCAGGAAGGGTTTGTTTGTGTCAGTCATCTACTGAAGAGCGGTGAAGAGTTGGCCGCAAGAGAATCGTGCGTAAGTCGATGTACCCAATTTTTCTCCAATACGGACAAGGGTTTATATGAGAGCGGGAGATTACCTTCGAAATGGCTTCAAGTCATCAAGCTAATCGATGCATATTTGGCAAAAAACGTATAATTTTAACTTTGGTAAATAAAGCCTCCGACTTAAAGCAAAAATAATGCATTACTTTTTACTGGACCTAATATATCATTAGAATTTCCAATAAGAGATAATACATTTCGACTGATAGTAACTCTATGGGTGATACAACTTTGGTCCATTGGTCGGAAAATCATCGAACTCGGAAGAAGTCGATATCATATAGTCCTCATGCAATCGATTTGTTCCGATATGAGGTTTTGAGTCAAACATCCCTCAACAAAGTAATTGAGAGCGAGAACTTTAGTACTCTACACACATATGTACACATGTATGTACAAACAAACATAGTCACCTAAATTAGGAAATTTTATTTTATTATTTTTATTAATATTTATTTTATAATTTTTAATAATATTTATTATTAATATATAATGCCAAAATGAAATGCAACAAACTGAATAATTTAATGACAGGTGTAATGACTTCGGTAATGGTTTTAAGTTGCATTTGATTTGTTCTGCACAAAATTTAAATTTAAAATTTACCATAATTTCTGAATAATTAGTTCTTGAATTCTGCTTTAATCATTTCCGTAGGATTAGTTTAGTGCTGAAATGTTTCCGAAATAGTTCTCAGTAATCGCACTAATTCTCATACGCATCCAATATCTGTTAATGTAAATAATTACTTTTGTATGCCTTTCTGACCTTTATAGACTTAATAGCGTACTCGTAAATGTATAAAAAAATCATTGAATAGTCTCTACTTCGTTAAAAAAGTGTTCAACTTTTTTATCATAATTCATAATTCATCATAATTCTCTCAAACATCTATCCATCCATATGGAGAGTTATTGCTGCTAATTTCTTTCATAACCCGTGACTCAACTGAAGGTGCAGGGATTGGTGTAGTTGCGGGATTTGAGTCTCAGTAGGCAATGCCACATTTGCTCTTAGTTTATTGAAATTTCGTTTTATTACGGTCTTACACATTGCTCTGCACATTTCAATATTTTCTAAATGTATTCTGTTACAACATGCAAAAGGGGTCAACAACTATGAGCTGAGCAAAGGAAAAAAAAATATATGTATATTTACATACATACTATATATGCGACAGACTCGCAAGTGAAAGTGCACAATTTGTGTTGTTGTTTTTCGATTAGTAGCAGAAACTTGTAAGAATGACTTGGTCAATGAATGTCGTTGTTGTCAGTTTGACGACGATCCCGATGCATGTCTGCAAAAGCTAGGTGTGTGTCCATCAGTGCAATAATGCATTTAATAGATTAAACTCTTTTGCTACAATTTCATATAAGCAGGCAGGGTGTTTGGTGGGGGTTGAAGTTGAGACCGTAGAGCTATGAAAGTTAAAAGGAAATAAGTTCCATTTTGGAACAGAAAACCAGAGAGTTTAAAATTTTTTTTGGATAAATTTAATTAAATTATTTAATTCTAAAAACTTATTGACAAAAATCTTTCGCAATTTATGTGACTAAAAAAACTAATAATTTATTAATATGTAACTATTTTCAGATTACTACATCCACTGCCAAAAAGCTATGGGAAAAATCCGATGGCAAAGGTACCACTTCAGGTGGCGTATCCGGTGGCCCCCTGAATCCACTACACATACCCGGCGTCGGCGATCATCCAGTTTGGAAGGATTCAACATGGTCCACACAGGGTGAGAATATATTGGCACCACCACGGCCACGCACTTTTCCACAGGCACCAGATACGAATACGAGCAGTAATGCAGGCATATTGAGGTAAGTGTAATTTTTTAACTATGAAACCATAAATTCGGAGCAATTTAAAAAAATATATCTATCAGAGTTTATAAACCAAAAAGGCGACTATGGCAAGCTATCACGCATCATATTCGATTTAAAGTCAAGAGAGGTGGATGCAGTATAAAATTCGCTAGATGTCGGGAAATTTCAGGTCTAGTAAAAGTTGGTGAGCGCTTCAGGCAGTTCGAATGCTGACATTACAGGCCCATAACTCGTTTCACTAAGTTGTTTCTTGTTCGAGCATTTTTGTGTATCCAGCAGATCTCAAACTGTTTCCAAACTGTTTTTTTTTTTTTTTTGGAGACAGTGCTCATATAAGCCAAGAATTAAAATTACCTTGAATAGGTAGAAATTGAAAATACAAAAATGAAGAAGGGGTTAAATGAAACAAGTTAAAATGAAACCAAAATAAAAAATAAATATGTATATAAGTAAACACATATATATATAATCATTTGGAATACTCTAATAAACGGTTTCATATTTTGCAGCCCACGGGATGCCACCAGCGGATTGGGTGTTAAAATGGTTGAATACGTTCTGGGTGGTTCTCCAACCAACAAGGAGAGCCCACTATCCAGCCTTGAGCCACGTTTGCGGGGATTAAAATTCGATGATAATGACAAGGTGAGTTTTGTATCTATATCCATATATTGTATGAACACGATTGCAGCTAAACCTCTCGCTAAGAGTCAGCTTGGTGAGGGGTTATATTCTTTTTGTGTATGTAAAAATAACTGAATATATGGACTGACACACATCTACCATTTTGACATCCGGTTCTCTAACTCTCATGTTATATATAATTGGCTCCTTGTAACCGATGAACTGATGTCTTGATGTTTTTCCAACAAATGGGCCTGTTTACCCACAGTTAATTCTAAACCGCCTCCGAACGATGAATTTTTATGAGGAGCTTTGATTTTCAAGCCAGAAGTACACTCGGCCTGACATTCCCTGCCGAGGGGCTACCGCAATTAGAAAAATTAGTTCTATTATTTCGGATGTTGGCCTGACAAGGACAGCGGGCAATGCCAACCACTCTGCTATCGCAGCGAAACTTGAAATATACGTATACTTTTTTGTACATTTTTCTTCCTATAATATACAAAACTTCAGTGGAAGCTGTTAGTTATCGGAACTTAGCAGTTTCATAGAAGGTGAGAGACCGTATCTTGCTCTTCTTCTTGTTATGGAGCTTCTTCTAAGAAGTACTCGCAGTCTCGCTGCATGCCGTCCTATCAAGCAGTGGCCTGTTAAAAACACAAGAAACTTAAAGATGTTTTCTCTTTTGAGAGAATATATGTATTCCTACTGGTCTTTTTTGCTTCCATTTTCCGTAAATCTGTCTCGAAGTTCTCCAAGTAGCAGCAGTGCGATTTCATTGTAATATTTGTCTTAGCTTTACGTTAATTCTTTTGAAATATTATGATTATGGTCTTGGGTCTATTTCATACAAGTCTATAAATAATATAATAAATTAGAAAAAATTTTATGTTACCAAAAATATTATTAAGTGGATTTTGCTTTAAATTCAGTGTTACGTAAAATTGATAAAAAATTGATATCTCTCTTATTTCAGTCTCACGACGAAAAGGAAAAGGCCAATTCTCCGTTTGATACAAACGGCCTAAAGAAGGACGACCAAGTAGCAAATACAAATGGCGTCGCCAATGGTATTGATGACGATAAAGGATTTAAGTGAGTAGCGATGAAATCTCTAACAAATTTAGATATTAATGTGCATAGCCATTTTGTTCTAAATTAATACTAGACCTAAATTTATTATTTTTTTATTATTTAAATTTGCAATTCCATCACTTAACTCATTCATAATGGCAAACAAAAAATCAGATAAATTTTTCACAAAATAATAATATCTACAACTACAAATCAACGGCAAGTAAAGAGTAGTTTTTGTGGTTAATTTTGTTTGTCTTTGCGGTTGCATGTGCACACGTGAGTTACGTCGAGTGGATCGGATTTCATGTAGGTATTTATCTATTTAAAAATAGGCTTCGAAAATTTTTATGTCACATTATCATCTATAATCCAGCTCATCAAACATTTTTGTAATCACTGCTGATGTCTCATCTATACTGCAGTGGCCTTTGCCTTGAATACCGCGCGGAGCATTAGATGTTCATCGTTTTGTCTGAAAGTTGATATTTTTTGAAGAAGTGGTTACTCTTCCCTACTGAATACACACTTACATCATCATCAATATAACTAAATATCCGCATACGCTTAATTTAAATAATCAGATCAGTTAGCGTGTACATAATTGGAAACAAGGAAGTTGGATTAAATAATATCCGACGCAAGTTGTGGCAGATTATGCTCTGCATTTGATATAATTGGAACTAAACCACATCAAGGCCCTTCAACTTAGGCACGAAAAAGCCATTGATTATGGCCTATAGACTTTATGGCCGGCTTCATTTTTTAAGAAATATGGGGTAATGATTCTCTATGTACGCAGAGCTCACCAAACTGTAGCTTTTTGAGGATGTGTCGTTGTTTTCGATATTTTCATTATATTTAAATAGTTTTCGTCAGTTTTGCTGCATTGAATTTTTCAAGCTCTAACATCGCAGAAGACATATCATTTCTCTGAACTAAGAACTATAAAAGGCATGTGGAATAATAATAGTGAATTTTTCTCGGCAAGCACCAGAATCTAACAAGATTCGCAGTCATATATGTAGGTACATATGCCTTGAGCTTGAGGGAATGTTGAACCAAAAAAGAGTATTAATAATGCTCACTCAAAAAGTTTCTACAAAGCTGGAGCGCCATTTGAGGGTGATATTGGAAATTATTTTGAGAACCACATTTTTTTTTAATGACTAGGAATCAAACTAAACTACAATTTTTTCAATTAAGCACAAGAAATTACAAATTAAATGCGTCATCAACATATGTACATATGTACATATGTATGTTCTACAATCGGCTCTTACTCTTACTGCAACATCAACGTCAACATGTGATCGTCGGATAAACCGATCTGACTAGCTGCCGGTTGAGTGACTGGCCAAGACTGAGTGAGAGATTGCCACCAAAGCAAACACATTTTCTTTAACTCGTCATTGTTTACATTGTTCAGTTTTTCTTATTTATTACAGCTACATACATATGTACACATGTATGAGGGTATATTATAGTTAGCTTCACTTAAAATGCTCTTGCAGCGGCGTTGGCAGCATGTTGCATTTTTCTGCAAATCGTCGGTCTGGTTTTCCTGTTTCTTTACTTTTATTGCAGCGCTTGCACGCTTTTTACACTGCCTGCCTGCTGGGGAGCAATTTTACATTGGCGGTGCGGCTGCTGCTCGTTCGACCGGGTCGCCGCCGCTACGTACTTGTAGCAATGCAGCGATGTAGCAATGGCATTGACATTAGAACAGCCAACTGGTTTCTTCAAGGTTCTTGGCGCTGCCAGTCGTCGCCACAGCCAGCCACATACCAATATATGCATGTATGTATTTGTGTACATTGCACCAACATTAAAGTGCAGCAGCATACACGTTTGCCATCTGAAAGACAAATACTTCTTGTTGCTGTTGGCTGCTGCCGAGCAGCACTTGCTGCAGTGCTCAGTCCCAAGCAGTCAGACGTCGAGTCAGTGAAATAGCGAACCAGTTTTCCAGTTCCAGCCTACACCAGCTATATTATTACGTATACGAGATATCCATGGCTAATGTAACGACAAGAACACTTTTTTTTTTTTTTGCAATGTTGCAACAATTTTAACGCTGTTTTTCTTTTGCATCGGTAGCCGGTGAGCTGCTGCTCGGAAACTGTTTATTATTATCATTTGCGATTTAGCTGACTCGTAACTTAGCTTTTGTTGTTGCTTTACCTTCCCAGTCGCCTACTCGATTTTCCCAGCCGTTTTTTGCGCCGCCACAAACGTAATATGCCGTTGCTGCTTTTGTTGTTATAATAATGTGAATAACTTAAATACGGGTATGTGCATAAGTAGATACGTACATACATACATATCTAATTTAATTAGCTATTTTTATTTTAATATGTTGCATCTGGTATCTGACCGGTCCTGGCCTGCCATAATATGGATGAAGATAACACATTAAACGCCTTAACTGATAGTTCCCAAATTCTTCTAGATAAACAAAAAATGCCTTTTCATCTGTGAGAAATCTGGAGCTTAATTCTTGCATTAGAGACAGATGTAATCAATTGGTGCGAGGTCTCGACTATAAGGTGGATGCATAAGAGCCACCCAACCAAGCTCTCGGAGCTCCTGCGGAATCACTATCAATGTGTGTGCTCCGGCATTGCCCTTATGAAACTCAATTCCCCTCTTGTTGGCCAAAGCTGACTGCTTCTGGGGGATTGCTTCCTTCACTTCCAATTTCGTTAAACGTTGCTGTAAGTGATCCACTATTCATCACCAGTCACCATAAGCTTCCGAAATCGATCGACGAGATATCCATGGCACTTACTCTCAGCCCATCAGGATTTTTCTCGTTCTCGTCTTATGCACTAGAGCTCTAGATACCTTAAGCTCAATATTCGTTCGATGTTTTACACTTTGCCTAAATAAATTTAAAATTGTAGAAGAAAGCATGAAGCAATAATTTAAAGGTAGTTTCATTCTCGCTTCTCAGTCTACTTCATAGCTATCTGAGATTAAACGTGGTTCGGCTTTTCGTGCTACCATTTTCTCATACAAAAAACGACCATTTTTTAATAAAAAATGTGTGGAAAACTTTCATCGCTTGGTGGATTGCAAGAGAGTATTCATGAAGATGAGGAGCTGGCTGAATTTCCTATGAGCAGGTAGCCAAACCACGAACATTCCCCAAATAGTTGAGAAAACCTATAAGTCTTTTCCTACTTCTGCCGCTTATGGAAAAAGGCTTGAAACAAATATTTTACAAGATCTATGCGTGAATTCAATATTATAGCATCTGCTTAGAAGATTTTGGGGTTATCCAATAATAATAATAATAATAATATATATTTATAATAATTAAAATATCTCCAAGGTGAATAATCTATAACTGGCAAGATCAAACATTTCTGAGCTAGCACGTTTAGTGTCGAAAGTTTCGAAGTTAGGCTGCCTTATAGAATTTTTGTATCGTGGAAAAAAGTTCCGAGAAAAAATTCAAATAGCTCCAATTGCTGAAGTCCGTTTTCGAAAATTTTCGAGGAATGAGTAATGGACAAGTGTGTGAGTACTCGCTGTTTAAATGCTCAAACTGCTTGAGAAAGTCCGAGCAAAATTTCGCGTTCTGGGTTGTGCAACTGAAGATTTAATTTTATTTTATTTACATTTATCTATTTCCTACACTTTCTTCATATACGTAATAACAATTAGCTATAAAGTTTGAAGTTATTTATGTAATATTTTATAATTGGTATGACAAGGCTTATATCACAGTTGCATACTCGTATATATATGAGAATATGAATATGCATATAATCATAACTTTCGTGTCTTATTTGCTGCCTTTGCACACCACACAGACCCTAATAACTGGCTTACCAACTGTCTCAGCTAAAGAGATATTCCATACATTTGTATACTATGTAGTATGTATGTATGGATGTATGTATGTATGTATGTATGTATGTATAATTAAAGCATGTATGATTCAATGTCAAAAATGTAATTTCGGAGCCGGTTGTCGTTGGCTCGTTGGCTGTGTCTGCAGCGATAACTCGAAACTATGAAAGTTGGCCATGCTCCACTAGCAGATGATTTATTGTATATATTTACTTACGTCTATTCGTATGTAGGTATATGCGTCTCAGTTATTTAGTGGTTTGACCACATAAACGTCACGTTTATTTAACAATTTTAGCGTATTTTTATCGCAAGCTTTGCTTTCCGTATTCGCAAACGCAGAATTTTGTCAGTCTTTGTAGTTTTTTTACTTTTTTCTATTTGCATATATAGACATACATATCTATATACCTTCCATGAATATGAGAGCGGATTAAATTTGGTTAAGCGTAGAAGAAGAACAAGTAGTAGATCTCAATTGCTTTGAGTTAACCAGACTTTGAATATCCGATTGGTTTTGAGAACGAAACAAATCATTTGCCAAAATAAAACACTGATTCAGTACCAAAATGATTCGTGGTAGAAAAGAGACATCTACGGCGGAATAATTATTATGCTGCTGCTGGGAGGCGTCCGAAGCCACAGACCTTAAAAGAGCATGTCTTGAATAACACGAATACTTTTTTATGTGTTTCGTGGTTTTTATATTTTTCGAGGGATAATGGTGGTGGGCATCTTTTTTTTTAAGTCTGTAATAATTCAATTGAAAATTTTATTAGTCAATGAAAACAATTAATGAGTTTTTTTGGTTTTTAAGAGTGTAATTTCATTAAAAATATGCATCAGCGCCACCTAGCGGACAATTTTTGTAAATGTGCTTAGCCAACCCTTAGCAATGCCTTTTTCGAATATCGAATACGACGAATCCAAATCGGACCTCTAGCAAGGCGTATACGTTTGGTATTTGCGATGACGATGATGATGAGTCGTCGGCTGGAGTTTTTGAGATAAATGTGTTGCGAACGATTTGTGGACTTTGCGCAGTGTCAACGGCGAATATCACACACCAGATTTACGGCAAAATTAACGGAGTACAGCGAATTAGGAGAAAGGGGTTACGCTATTGGGAAGCAGAGGAAGAGGGGGGCCTCCACTCAGTT